TGGTGAAACCCTACTAAAAATCAAAAAATCAGCCGAGTGTGGTGGCACAGGCCTGTAATCCCAGCTACTCAGGAGGCTGAGACAGGAGAACTGCTTGAACTCAGGATCATTCCACTGCACTCCAGCCTGGGTGACAGAGTGAGACTCCATCTCAAAAACAAACAAACATACAAACAAACAAAGCTTTGGCTCTTATACCAGCATTGTTTAATTGATCACCACCAAAACACCTCCAGACTTGAATTTTTCCACACACTGTTTCAAATGAAGTCAGTTCATTTAGGGCAAGCTTCAGAATTCTCTATTCTTAGGACTGTCTTTCCCCACTGGACAAAATATTGACATCACTGATGAGAAGCTCAGAGTGGGGATAGTGGCTTCTCTCAAAATGACACAGCTGCCTTATGAAAAGAGTCCTGAGCAGTGGCAGTAATCTCTAGTATTTTTGGCTGACCTCTCCAGGTCTGAAACCTTGGCCTTATGAGTGAGTTGGAGACAGGACAGAGCCACAAAATTCTTAGCTTTTTGCAACTGGAGTAGAGAGTCTACTTTATAATGTGGGCCTTCAGTGGTTGGGGAAAGGAGACCCCAGTTCAATAGGCCGCACCTGCTCTATTCCAGAGATTCTGCAACCTGAGGATAGAGTGAATGAGAAATGCAAGCAGCACGCCCCTCCTGGGGTAAAACCATATCCCCAGACTGGGATCTTGCAGGAGAAGCAACTCCACAGATGATGATTGAGGGAATGGTAACAGAGTAGGTTGTAAAATAGACCCTTACTGTTCTTAGCAAGATTTAGTAGATGTTCTTGAATAAATAGTGCTTTATTGGTTGTATGCCTTTAGTACAGATTCTGGGGATTTTAAGTTAGTTTTTAGAATAATTTATATAAGTTAAAATTCTTATTTTCCTATAAAGAGGATTTGCTACACTCCTTACTCCACCATTCTGGATGTCCTACCTCTTTTAGATGATTTCTTTTAAGGAAATCAGCTTATATGTACCTTCTGGGATTTTTCTCTATATTACTAGTGAAGCGGATGTAGCCCTAGAAATACTTACTTTTCAAGGTTGGGAGAAAAGAATGACATTTACTCATTACTCTGTACCAAATATGGCTCTAAAGCACTTACATTCAAGTTTTCCTATTTACTCTTTGAAACAATGTTTACTTCTCAGCTTACCCACATAGCAAACTGTAATTTATTATTTGGAGCTCAGTTTAATCTGTTTAATCTATTATGTAGTTCCTAACTTACTTACATAAAACAGTTTAGGACTTTTTTCCCTTTTATTTCTACTGAAATATGTAGAAATGACTTGATGATACTGTAACTGGTTGTGTATTTATATAAGTTACTTGAGGTCATAGAATGCTTGTTTCATTTTTGAATTTTAAGAGCATAGCATGGTTCCTGAAACAGGTTGGGAGTTCAATAAATATTTGTTAAATTAATGAATTGTAAATTCATTAGCAGCTTAAAATTTTCTTACCCTTGCTTTTCCTACAAAATAAATATTAATCTAATTGTAAAAAAATTACCTCTTCCTTTCAGGTGAATGTTAAATGTTTGATAGTATAAAAAATGTAGAAAAGAAAATCTGAAAATTACTATTTTTTAATAAAGTAATAGCATTAAGAAGAACATTCCAAATTTGAGTATGGATTATAATTATATTAAAAAGCTTAAATTATAGAATTTCTATGAAGAAGGGATTGGGAAGAGTTTTTATTTGCTTAGTGGTTCCTACATTGGCATATAAAGGGCAAATGCTATAGTATTAAATAAGGCTTTTATTAGTGATTTTTTTTTTTTTTTTTTTTTTTTGAGACGGAGTTTCACTCTTGTTACCCAGGCTGGAGTGCAATGGCGCGATCTCGGCTCACTGCAACCTCCGCCTCCTGGGTTCAGGCAATTCTCCTGTCTCAGCCTCCTGAGTAGCTGGGATCATAGGCACGCGCCACCATGCCCAGCTAATCTTTTGTATTTTTAGTAGAGACGGGGTTTCACCATGTTGACCAAGTTGGTCTCGATCTCTCGACCTTGTGATCCACCTGCCTCGGCCTCCCAAAGTGCTGGGATTACAGGCTTGAGCCACCGCGCCCGGCTGTGAATGTTAATAACTATTTTACAAATAGTCACTGAATGGAAAGTACTGGCATTATTAGCAGTAAGTAAGTAAACTAACACTAACTGTTGGAGGTGAGGTGGGGAAAGGTGTGGGTGGATTATTGCCTTGAAATAAATTTAAAGAGAAATTTCCCTATGTTTGGATAAAATTAAAAAGTAAAATTTTATTTTAAAATCCATGACATTACTTCATACAGTAATTAATTTGGGTAGTCTAATGCGGTAGCAGAATAGTATATCACATTAAATATACATTTACTCTATTTTATGTAACCATTCTTCTGTGGTTGGATAATTAGGCATTTTATCTTTGTCTATAAAGCTTTTATATGCTTTATTATTTTTAAGATTCTGGATGCATTTTATGTTTTAAGTTGTATTTGAGAGATGATACGAATATTTTAAAATAATGAGGCATTATCAAGATATTACTTATCTGTTAAGAGTATTAAAATATACTAGACAAAGCTCAGAGATATTCCAGGTTTGGCTCCATACGACCACAATACAGTGAGTATCACAATAAAACAAGTGACAAATGTTTTGGTTTCCTAGTTCACATAAAAGTTCTGTTTATATTATACTGGTAATTTATTCAGCATGAAATAGCGTTATGCCTAAGCAAATACTATATATATTTTAATTTAAAGATACTTCATTGCCAAAAATTATGAATAATCATCTGAGCCTTTAGTGAGTCATAATCTTTTTTTCTGGTGGAAGGCCTTGCCTCAATGCTGATGGCTGCTGACTGATCAGGGTGGCAGTTGAAGGCTGGGGTGGCTGTGGCAATTTCCTAAACCAGGACAACAATGAAGTTTGTTGTATCAATTCACCCTTTCTTTCACTGAAGATTTCTCCATAGAATGTGATACTGTTTGGTCATATTTTATCCACAGTAGAACTTCTTTAAAAATTTGAGTGAATTCTCTCACACCCTGCCATTGCTTTATCAATTAAGTTTATGTAATATTTTAAATCTTTTTTTGTTATTTCAACAATGTTCATAGCATCTTGATCAGAAATATATCCCATCTCAAGGAACCACTCTCCGTGTTCAGTCACAAGAAGCAATTCCTCATTCATTCAAGTTGTATCATGAGATTGCAGCACATCAGTTGGCTCCATTTCTAAACCTAGTTATTCTGATATTTATTTCTACCACATCCGTAGTTACTTCAGCGAAGTCTTGAACCCCTCAAAGTAATTTATAAGGATTGGAATAAAATTCCATATTCCTGTTACTATTAATATTTTTACCTCTTCTCATGAATCCTGAAAGTTCTTACTGGTGTTGAAATGATAAATCCTTTTCAGAAGGTTTCAATTTTCTTTGCCCAGAGCCATTAAAGGAATTACTATAACAGCTGCAGCCTTATGAAATGTATTTCTTAAATTAAAAAAAGAAAATGTTAAAGTCAAAATTACTCCTTGATTCATGGGTTTCAGAATGAATGCTGTGTCAGCAGGCATAAAAACAATTTTAATCTTCTTATACATTTCCATAAAACTCTTGGGTGACTAGGTATATTGTTAATGAGTAATAATATTTTGAAATAATTTTTTTTCCTGCACAGTAGATCTCAACAGTGGGCTTAAAATATTCATTAAGCCATGCTATAAACAGATAGGCTATCATCCATGCTTTGCTCCATTTATAGAACAAGGGCAGAACTGATTTAACATGATTCTCAAGGGCCTCAGAATTTTCAGAACGGTAAATGACGAACAACTTTGATATAAAGTGATCAGCCCCTAACAAAAAAGTCATCCTGTCCTTTGAAGCTTTAAAGCCAGTCCCTGACCTCTCCTCTCTGCCTATGAAAGTTCTAGGTATCATCTTCTTCCAAAAGAAAGCTTCAGACTACATTTAAAATCAGTTGTTTAGTGTAGATACTATCTTAACAAGATACCACTGCACAACCTCTAGGAAGGGTATCTGTTTCTTTTCTTTTCTTTTTTTTTTTTTTTTGTGAGTTTTGAATATTTACTGTCCTTGTTTTTAACCTAATTTGCACATTTACATAAATATAATGGCTGTGTTTAACAACTGGCTTGCAACAAAATTCTTAAAAATTGAATAATTGGCCCACCTGGGCTGGGACAAGCCAGCTGGAGCATACTGCTGCCCTCAGCCTCTAGGAGTCCTCAGGATTACAGTGTCTGTCTTATGATATTGGCCTGAAGGAGGTAGTCTTGGAGGTGCTGGTGACTGTTGAACTTCCTTTTGGAATGTATGGGAGAAGGCAGGAAAAGGAATCTTGAGGCAGACTGCCATCCAGAGACTGCTATCCTGTTCACTTATTCAGCTGTGAATGTCAGTGTTCTATCTTCTTCTTCTGTCTACTACATGCAGGCCTGGAAGCTGAGGGGTTAGTCAAAGGTACAGGAAGGGAAAAGAGAAGAGGGCAAGAGCCCATCCCCCAAGGAGGGAAGGGCTGCAATGCAGAGGGAACAGGAGCTGAGGTGGAGACGGCCACTGCCTCTCTAACCCTCTGCTCCATCCCTCGACTCAAGAAAAGCAGGCTTAGCAGAGTGGACACTTTTTATTGGTCTGGATGGCATGCCTAGTGGAAACCTCAGGCAGAACTTCCTATCTGCCCTGGCTCCCATCTTCCCTCTCCTGGGAGTTCATCACATACCCTAAGAGGGAAGGGTGTCTTGGGCCGAGGTAGGAGGTAAAGCCAGGGTAAAAACCTCCAGGGCTGGGAAGCAAAAGGGGCTCAGGGTGATGCAGAAAATGTGACGTTGCCAGGCCATCTAGATGAAGCGTCCATAGGACAGAGGAGGAGCTGTTTCCCTGCAGAGACTGCTCTGCCCCCACCAGGAATGAGAGGGGCAAGAGGAAGAGCTTCCCCAAGAGGCTCCCTACTGGGCCCTTTGTGCCATCAGCAGCTCCCTGATGTTGTCCTCAGCTTCCTTAACGCTCCGCTCCAGGTAGGACTTTTTCTGTTCTAGTTCTTTGATTTTTTCTTCTGCTGTTTTTTGCTTCTCTAACAGTTGATTACGAATTGCTTCCTTGGACTGAAAAATAAACATTCTTCCTACACGTTCATACACGTTAGTCTCATCTACCAACATCATGATCTCTGTATGTGTAAGATGTGCATGCTTTTTCGTTCTGTTTAGCTGTCCAATCTGTATGTCTGCCAGTTTCACCTTCTGTTGAGTGTCGATAACTTTGGCTTGAAGCTCTGTGAAGGCCTTCGCCAACTCAAGATCCATGGGGCAGCCATCCTGTTGCACTCTCTTGTTTTCAAAGTTGTAATGCAGGGCTTGTCTTGGTAAATTTAATGCATGAAATAAGTTCACATGTAATGAGTACCCAGACAGTTTTGATCAGAAAACTGCAAATTATCATCTGGAACAAGGATTGTTGTGCACCATAAAAAAATGTAAACATACACATACACATACACACACACACACACACACACACACACTCACATATTATGCTTTTATAGGCAGCATATGATATATATCATATAGATGTGAATATATATATATATATATATATATATATATATATATATATATATATTTACTTTTCCTAGAAAGAACATGGACTTCAGAGTTAAACAGCCTTGAAAGCAATTGATGGCTCCACCATGATAAGTTGTATGATTTGGGACCAATCAGTTACCTTCACTGATCTCTGTTCCTTTCCTCTAAGAAATAAAAATAATAATACTGGCACAGTAGTGGTGCTACCAGGGTTGTATCTAATACTCTACATGAAGTGTCTAGCAAAGTATCTGATTTCACTACTAAATAACCGTTAATTTTATTATATTGTATTGTTATTATTATGCCCTGGTTTTTTGAGGGCTGAGGGCTGCAATCTAGGCATGGGAATCTCAGCTAAGAGAGGAGTGAGATCCAGCATAGAAGCTGTGTGACTCAAGTATCAAGCCTGCCCTCAATCCATCCATATCTCATCTCTCAGAAACCTGGCAACCATAGCTCACTCATCCCAGAAAGGAGCCTAGAGGATTTCCCTTTGGGTAAACTGAGTATACCAACACACACACACACACACACACACACACACACACACACACACACACTTTGGTAAGTTTATATATGTACCACAAGACTTTTGAGAGTTTACTTTCACACATTGTACCAATATAGTTTAAACAATCACTTGTTTTCTCTATGAGCACTGAGTGAGGCTACTTTGAGTTTCTGTTTTCATATGTTACTAGGTATTAACTTCTTAATTAAATAAATGCCCATTGTTTTTAATGAAGATACTATGGGACAGTGTGGAAAGGCATAAACTTACATCAAAACATACCTGAGTGTGAATCCCAGTTTCATTACTGAAAAATTGTACAAACTTAAGGCTTTTGCAACACGTCGAACTTCGGCTTTGTTAACTTTCAGTTTGGGATGTTACATTGTTGTGCGGTAACTATAACTAAATGAGACTGCACATTTAATAGCTATAATAGTGACCAGCACACATGAGTATTCATGTAACATATCATCATATTAGTTCCCTGTCCACTGAAGGAATAACAAAGAAAGGTTTGAACCCTAAGGAATCTGTTAAAGATATATAAGTAAGTATAACTTCTACCTCAAATGGGTTTGAGTGGTGACAAGCAGATTCTTTCTACAAAAGAAAAGCATTAGGCCTGAAGGGAAAGCTTTTATAGTGAAACACGCTACTGACAGTTACATTATAAATAAGACAAGTACCGCAGAAGAAAAGAAGGAATTGGGTCTGGAACGTGGTAGGAAGAAGGCATCCTGAGATAGAGTGGTACCCTAAGAGCCCTGTCTCACAAATAAGGAAACTGAGATTCAGAGTCACCAAGTGGTGTCTCTGAGGTCACAAGGGGAATACACGTTACACTCAGGACTGGCGCTCAAGATGGCTGGTGGTGTCACTGGTGCTCTTCCAGCAGGGCTCTTATTATTTCTGGGCTCCTATTTTATTTCCTATGAAGTGAATGAATTGACCTTTAAATCCAAATACATATTTACCTTTCAATAAAGGACTCTGAGACTTGTGATGGTCTCTATCCGGGCCAAGGCAGATACATTGGATAATTCAAAGGTTCGCAGTTGGAAAGCCAAGTTTAAACTCTGGCTTTTTCTATTTCTTTGGATTTGAAAAAAATTTGGCTTTTTCTATTTCTTTGGATTTGAAAAAAATTACCTGATTTTTTTAAGGTTCAGTTATCTCACTTGAAAAATAAAAATGGGAAATATACCAGTTAATACTCAGGGTTTTGAGGTAACCACACCTATAAAATGTATAATACTGTGCCAGCCATATAATAAACCACTGAGAAATAGTACCTGTAATTTTTTTCATCAACATGTTTCAATATTCTTATTGATCCTTATGTCTTTTAATGGATATGGGGGACCATGCCTTTAATTGCTTAGAAAAGTACTAAGTGAGGCTTTGGCTTCAGGTCAATAAAATCAAGCTCTGGGCCAGTGTAGGCACTTCATACTTAACTTCAAATTTCCTCTGTTCCAGAAAGCCTTTAAGTATGGTTCTGGGGACTGAAATGGCAATGAAGCAATGAATATAATGGGAGGGCGGCCTTGTGGCCTTCCACGGTTCCAGTCTCTCACACGCACGTGCGCTCTCTCTCTCTCTCTCTCTCTCTATATATATATATATACACACACACACACACACACATATACACACATATATATGTATATATACATATATATATACACACACACATACATACATATATTTTTTTTTCTGATAAAGCACATAGACCAAAGATGTGACTATATATGTACGTATACACATACATATACATATATAAATGGAAAAAGAGACAGAGAAGTTAAGGACCTGGTAGCTGAAAAGCTTCCAGTAAAACCTCCTTACCTCATCATCCTCAAAAGTCCTTGACACAGACACCCAGGAGCATTAAAAATAAATGGAAAAGGTTGCCCATGCCTGTCTAAAGTAACTAAGTACAAGGACCTTTGAGGATTTTTGTGAGCCACTGAAATGGGTTTTAGAGGGCTACATTTGTATTTGTCTTTATATTTTATTGCATTTTCATTCGACCACAGCCCCTATAGGTGCTGCTTCATGCTCCAAGTAGTTCAGCTAGTGAATTTGAAGAAGGCTTTGGAGATAGGCATCTTTTAACACTCAACCACTTTTTTTTTCACACCCTTTTCCTCCGACCTCTCAAGGAATCATTTTCTTTTGCACTTGAAGGAGCTTTTGTTAAGTGGCCTGGAAGTGAGATTGCTGTGCATCCATCGTGGCAAAATTAATCCAGGAGTGAAAATGCCAAAAAGGAACCAGTTGTTTCTATTCTGAAGGCTTCCTTCAGTGGTCTAAATGAGAAAGCGAAGTACTTCCTGCAAGCTTCCCTGTAGCTCCTTTGAGAGTTATCAGTGCCTCCTTCTTCCAATCAAAGCCATCATCAAAGCTAAAGGGCAGCAAGTTCTTAAGAAGCAGGAGACGGAATCTTACGAAGAAAAAAAATTGGTAGCTGATCTCATCAGTTTCTAGAGAAACTGCAATCGAATTCCTTAAAAATTATACAAGGGAATCAATGATGCAGAGGAAAAATTATTCATAAAGTGTTGAAAACGCACACACTCACAAAGCTTGCATTAGGGATAAACGCGTTAACTTTGGGATCAGGTAATGGGGCCTTGAAGGCTACTTCTCTATTACACATTCATGATGCTTGGGCAACTTGGTCTGTGAGCTTCAGTTTCCTCACACATAAATGGGAATAATAACGTTATTACGTACAAAGCACACAAGAATAATAAGTGGGGAATGTTTAGAATGAAGGGCAACAGATTAAGACAGCAATGGTAAATAGGAGAAAACTTATTTTCATTAGACTTGTGCTGTAACAAATTTTGACCTTGATAAAAAGCCTCCTCTGTGCCCCCTCTCTCTTCTCCTTGTGTACTCTAGCATTGCACTTCCACTGCACTGAGAGCAATACTTTTGGTATTTGTCATGCCATGCTACAATTATTCATCTATAGAAATGTCTTTCTCCTCCAACCTATGAATGCTGTGAGAGTAGGGAACGTATGTAAATAATCTTTGTATACATAAGACTTTGTGTATCCTAGGTATTCAGTACTTGGTGAATCGGTTAACGAGAGGACAGCTTTTTTGATGTTCATCCCATGTACTACAGTAGCATTGAAACAAATGTGTTGATAAGATTGAGTAGAAACCCAGAACCTGGGGTTTGAACAAGTATGCCGTTTTTAAAACAGAAGACTACATGTCTTTGTGTTTGCAGTAGATTGTCTCTAAATTAAACGATGACACAGGAGTGGGCTTGATAGAACAGCGCTTTAAAGATTGAACTCATGTTTCATTTTAGAATGGGGTACTGTCTTCTCAATTACATAATCGATAGATGAACCGACATGCTACAGTAAAATTACAATTTATTCTAAAGCTAAAATTAAATATTATGGAATAAAATGTAGTCTTGTGTCACAACTGTCTATATCTAATGTAAATAAAGACAAATCTCTCAGTCTTTAAAATGGGTCATAAGAAAGTGCAATGCAAACCTAGATAACAAAAATGGGACAAAATTTATAGCATAACTAGTTTGTAATATAATCTTTTAAAAATTTAAGATATTTATAGACACAAATAGATGAAGCCATTTTACACCAAAAAGGGAAACATAAATTACGACAATACTCATCAATTTTAGTCCTGTTGTAAACACTTTCATTTAATTATATCAAATTTCTTTCGGAAAAATAATTAAGGCAATTTACAAAAGTCATAATACCAAAAAGAAAAAATAACAGGTAAATAGAGTTAGAAAAATTAAAATTATGGTCTTTAAAATAATTATTTTTAGTCATTTTAGAATTACTACTGGAGCTATGAGCTAAAAGTAAAATTTGACTGTTTCCGATCAGCAATGACAAAAACAGAAACATAATAATCTGCATATTTCTATCAGAAAAAAGGATGCTTGCTTTAAGAAAAGAAAAACTTTTCCTAACATGAATTCTAAAGTAAGCCTGTCACCTATAAAAGTTGATATAAGGTAGATCATGTGGCCTAAAGAATAATGCTCTAGGAATTAATGAAGAAAAATCTCAACAACAATAATGAAGACGGCAAGGATGCATGAATATTCATGTGATACCTAGCATATGCCAGGCTGTAGTCCAGAGACAGTATCTGCCTTTATTCTCTATAATCTTTCGGTCACCATTTTTAAGTGA